TCCGCCATTCTGTGCCTCCCTGATTCTTGTCACTTCCAACTTTCTGATCCGCGTGAAAGCTTTTCCCGTTTCCCCAGTAACGTGCCACTTGGATCCACAGAATTTTCTGAAGTCCGCAGCCCGAGTAACCGAAATTCGAGTATTTTATTGCCAAAAGCAGCTTTTCCTCGTTTAGTGCTGTCGTCTCTGATTGGACTAGATTTTTTTTTAAAGAACGTTTGGGAGTTACCTCAAGTTGAGTGTCGATGGCCCCATGCTGAGATGCAGCTTGAGACTTCTGAGACGGAAGTTTCTGGTTTCCCGCGAGATACTGTCCGGGGTTTGCGTCCCTTGGTCGCACCTCCTCCCCGAAGCGCTGCCTCCCCCATTCACCACGTAGTTTAGCTGTGGGTGCGAGGAGCTGACTCTCACGCCGGTGCTCCTGCAAACAGAACGACCCGCCTTACATTCCGGGTACTGACGAGTACTGACAGACATTCGTAACATCAACAAATAGTACCGAATAGGGGATGACTATCACCTGTTGCCCAGGTAGCTTTAAAATGTCGAGTCATGACCTTGAGACCGCGGTACTCATGCCTCAGCACTGCGGTTGCCAGTAACAAGGACGGTCTGATCTCTAATGTTTCGGAGGAATATCCTGCCTCCTTCTTCAAGGTGGAATATCTTTTGCGCCACCAACTGCCGGCGCAGTGCACTCAGTACTGCCATCTGGTATTGATATCGCTTCCAAAAAGATCCGAGCTTCTATGAACGTGTAAATGTTTCAGAAGTTTTGCGTGCCCAGATGTAACGAAGCTGTCAGTGTTTCGTGCCATCTTCCCCGTGTGTTTTAACATAGCGGAATTTCAGCTTCGTGGTAAGTTCGATAAGTTAAATAAGCGAAGTCGACTGCAGCAAGGAGGAATCGAAAAGTTTGTTTCGATAACTCGCGTGTCCGACGGTGGGTAGTTAAACTAATCTAATACGTAATCGGGCGAAACCAAAGGGAAGTTGGGAGGGATTTAAAATTTGGTTTGAAACACGTCGCACATTTTTTTCCTTCGGTTTAGTAATTTTTGGTAAGGAAACATGTTTAGTTAAAATTTGTAGAAAAGTGACTGGAGGCTCCTTGTTGTTGTCACATCGCCTTCTTGACGTGTTCAAAACGGTTGTCCACGGCCGGAGTTTATGCCAGTCGACGGCAGAGAGCTTTATGAAATTTTAATTCAGTCGTCAAGTGTCTGGAGATTTTTATAAAATCAGAAACTGTTCGTACGATTTAACCGCGCTGTCTGTTACTGTGGCAGACAGCGATGAGCTACGAATGAACACGTTCGTACGTCGGTTTCACAACTCGTTTTGCCATTGTCTGGACACGAGATGTGAGCATCATATTCTTCATTCTCTGTGCACGTTCTGAATAATTTTATACGCGGAATCCCGATGTAAATGAAATTCGGAAATAACTGTCGAATGACTTCATTTCCCATTGAAACTTGTGTGCGTTCCTTTGGCACGTTGTATCTGACCCGCGGTTCTATTTGTAAGCAGTCTATGTCTTCCAATGTTGTGGTACACAATTCCGCTCAATGCACATCTGTTGATCGGTACTGTACCTGACGAGAGAGCGAGACAGCCGAAGCGCCCGTCAGCGGGGATGCAGCAGCGACAAGACAGATTCGCGTCCCGTTCGTGCGACCGAATCTCTGAGGTGGTCGGTCACGTTCCTCTGCGTCTTATCCGTCGTTTAGAAACATAAACTACAGGAGTTTTTTTTCCGACATCTCTCTCTGTGCCCCTGCGAAGTCAGATGTGTCGTTTGTTTTATCTCTGAGTTCATAATGAAAGCGAGACGTCGTTAAATTCTCACGAGGACAGTTTTAATTTTGTCTGTAATTCTGCGGTATACATACAACTTTCTTCTCAGTTCCCTGCTCCCCAAAACGTAAACCACGTCCCGAAATATTCTTCTTCATTATTATTATGAATGGGTGCTTATTGTAAGACGCTATTTTTATATTATTATTATTAGTGTTCTGTCTGACGACAGGTCCATATGAACAGGATCCTTCCATCCTTTTCTCGGACTGGGACCTGTTCATATACGTTCTTGGCAGATGATCCAGAAGTGGTTTGCCATTGCCTTCTTCTGTGTGTATGGAGTAATGAGTAATTGTTGGGATGCCACGGAGAAACCGGGGAAGACCCCGGAGGA